TAAAGAGTTAAGAGTTGAGAACTAAAAGTATTTCAAAGTCCTTGTTTCTCCTCTAGAGCTAGAATTCCAAATGACTAGGATTCTTCCACAGACAAAAAGGGTAGCAGCGGAGAAGAGGAGATACAAATTTGGCCTAATTCCAGATAAATTTCACTTTTAACTTTCATTTTTAAGTAATCTGAACAAAAATCAGATTTCTAATACTGTAATTGTTTTACAAAATAAAGCTAATAAGCAGCAAGTCTAACATTCAAATGCTATCTTACAAGTGCAAAATCACTAAACAATCATTTATCGCCTACTACGTGCATGAAAATTTCACATATATTATCCTATCACATCTCAATAGTAATTTTGAAACCTTGTGATTGAGAAGAACAGAGCCATTGAAAGACTCTTAAAAAAAAAAACAGTATTTTTTCAAGATTCTTTAAAAAGACTACATTAGCTATAAAAATAAATGAAATTACAGACTTCTTAAACAGTGCCTGGTACCTAGTTGCCTCTCAACAACTATTTGTTGGAATAAAATAATGAAGGTCTTGAATATTAAAACTACGGAAAAACTCTCATAATATCATATATTGAATATTCACCAAAACAGTCTCTGCATGGCCTTAAAAGCATTACTGCATTTAATCCTGATGCCAATCTCATAACCTAGGTAGGATTATCCTATATAACTGATGAATAACTTGGGCTAAGTCCAGTGGAACACCTGGAACTGTGTGAGTCTAGGCTGCCATACTGACAGGAGGGGCAACCCTGGCATTTAATAGGTAAAAGCCAGGGATATTAAATAGCCTGCAACATGCTGGACAAACCCACACAATTATCCAGCCCAAAATGCTACCACTACTGAGAGACACATGACCAAAAAATAAATAGATAATTGCAATGATTCCTCACCACATAATATCCAGATAACTCATGTTAACATTCAAGGTTCTCCACCTACTGGCTCCTATTTCTGTCTCCAACTGAAATAGGATCACTATTCCAAACCGTCTCCTTAGTATTCCTCTTAACTATAATTTGCTTCTCTACTAATGCCCAAACTGTTTGCCTAGAATAATTTCCCCAATGCCTCTTCCCTGTTACTCTGTGTGACCTCTACCTACTAATGTATAGAAATGTTATCAATCTGCAATCTTTACCTGCAATCTGACTCTGCAGAATGTCCAAAGTGTCCCAAATAATATTCTAAATTCAATTGTTTAACTACTTCTAGTCTTTAAGGCTGGAAACTTTCTAAAGAATCACATTCTCCATTTCTTTTAAACACTCACCTAGAATGATATAGCCACTTGAAATTACAGAATTGTTTCTTGAAGAAATCATCTAATACGCCATCTTCATTTTAAGAAGAAAAACAACAACAACAACACTGAAAAACATCTAATTTCTTAGTGGCAAGAAAAGAACCAGAATTCAGGCCATAGTTTATAACATAACGTTAGCACTTAATAAGAACTCCAATATACAAAAATCATCCTGTAAGCCTGCATTCAGCAACATTACACTGCAGTTTAAAAGACAATCCATGCTTTATCAGAGATTGCTATTTTACTGTATCTTCCGCAAGAAGACATGAGGTTTTTAAATAATGTTGAAAATTATAACAAAAACTCATACATTTTTATAGAAAATTCAATAAATTTGAGATTTCATTTTTCTGCTTAGGCCTTGAAAAAGTCACACATAAAATGACTTCATTGTATTTAGACAAAAAACATTATAAAGATCAGAGTAGCCCATGGTTACAGTAATTCAAAATTATACTAGAAAACCAGGAGTCTAGATAAGGACAACAACAGCATTACTAAAAATGCCTTCATTCTTCAGTTAAAACCTTTTTCCATTTTTAGATATTGATATGAAAATAGACAATTAGATTATTTTATCCCAATAATTTTCAACCCTGGATTAATCATAAAAATCAAGTTATTCTAATTTCTATATGACAAAAAGGAGAGAATTAAGATAAATCACATCACGGCTATACAGGACTCGGTATATAAACTTATGTTTTCCTGCTTCCTATCAGTAAGTACATTCCAACCTCACATTCTTTTCAGAAGCCAAGAAGATTGAACATAAAGCATGTTTATAATATCATTCACTTGCTACACATTAATGCAGGAAACATTAAAATTATCTTGCTTCATTTCTAGTTAGAGATTTAAAAAATCAGATTTTCACTAATTCTTGTCTGTAAACATTAAATATCAATGTAACTTTCTCCTCTAGTCTTTTTATACATCAAAGCAGATTAATTTAGTACAGTCCAACACTGAGGAGGACATTCTATTAGATTAGAAATGCAATGCAAATTCTAATAGCCCAATTCTACTTCTGAAAACATCTCCTATTTTCTGCTCCAAGTCAAAGGAAAGAAAACACTTTATCTATTAGTATATATCTGCTCCAAAGACACTTTTTAGGACAAATTTATTACAGGCTACAAGAGTCTAATATGTGAAGAAAATAAAGGACTGAAAGAAACCAATCGAAATAGCAAAAAATATTAAAGAGCAAGAGCAACAGAATATACCTGTAATAAGTCTGCGTGTTAGGCCAATAGAGAGTTTTGAAATTAGGAACTATTAATTTTAGTTTAGCTTTAAAAACAAAGAATAGAGAAACATAGATCTTAAATCACTATGTGGAAATTAAATAAAAAAGACTAAAGGTCTTAGTCATTTTCTATAAATCAAAGCCACAATAAATAACACTTAAGTAGCTTAGCTGGAACTTAAACCTAACAGAAGAAATGACTAGCTGGTATTACTGGTAGGCAAACCAATTTATCACTCTGGAATGTTCATATAAATCTCATTAAAAAGAAACACGTTTGGTAAATAGTTTTCCTGACTCCATTCTAAATATACTAATAGAGATGTTAAAATTAAAAAAAAAAAAATTAGAGTGTAACTGTAAACTGTAATTATAGGTTCACTTTCATTTAGTCCTTAGTTATTAAAATGTATAAGCAAGTCATGTACAAGTGAGGATTTTGGACATCTGACCCTTGATTTTATTTGACAATTAGAATCAAGCCTGTATTTTAATTTCTTTGTGTCAACTTGCTAATTACTCAGATGCATTAAGGCTAACAGTCTTGTCTAAGAAAAGATCTGGTTTTATAAAAGTGGACTCACTGGTGGTATTTACTTGTATTAAAAATGAAAGGGGCAGACTTGCTGTTAAAAGAAAAAAGTTATATACTATTGGAAAATTGAGACTACACTGACATAATAGTAAAACTTAAACCCATTTAAAAAAAAAAAGTAAAATCTAAAAATAACTGATCTAACTCTTTTTTTCTTTTAATCCAGTGATGATATTTTTGGGAGGGAGGGAACAAAAAAAGTCTTTTAGTTCCAAAGAGTCCATCTAGTGACAACAATGCACTATTCTTGTCACTACATGATGTTTTGCTAAATACCTAGTACTCACAATGACAAAATTAAGTTTCTGTTCCAACTTCACAAGACTAAAATAGGAACTCTAAACTAGAAGGTAATGATCACTGGATTTAGGAATAAAAACAACTAAACACTTGCAGACAAAAATATTCCAGTCTTAAATATCCAGATATTTGGGCAAGAGCCCTTTAGACATACTCTTAGAAATTCACAGCTTCAGATCTAGCCTGGTCACATTCTACCATTTCAACTGAACACGTGCACTACTGGCATCTACTATGAATATAGACGTCACTCAATAATACATACAACAGCCCATCTGAAAACTTGTTCTAAGTATTTTGAAAGATAAGACACTAATCATAAATGAAACTTGAGGCATATTCTGATACCATATACAGTAGTTCTTTGAAATGAAGATTTTAAAAGATCATAAGGAAAATCAAGGCATATGTTTAACTAAAATGCAGTTTCCTCCTCTCTTCTCAGGACCCAGATAAATCGAAAATGTGGGGGGGTAAAACTCCCTCCTTCTCTTTATTTTTTTGAGAACAGTACTTCTATTGTGATTATCTCGTGACTTTTTTTTCTTATTACAAACACATTACTTCAATATGTAGAAGCAAATCCTAAAGATGAACATAGCATCTGCTTTTAAAAATCTTATGTTTAAGTTTAAAAATAAGGGTAATTTTAATTATGGTTAAATTTCATGACAAAAGCAAACAGTTTTATTTCAAATTAAATACTGTAAAAGTGAAAAGTATTCTCCACTGTTCAGACTAAAAAATTGATCTTGAAGAATGAGTAGGCATATGGAAAAACTATACTATGCCATGACAAAACTATTATAGTTCGTGCATAGTCAAGAAAAATAATTCTCCTTATACTAATGCTTTGGAGTACCGCTAACTTATCAGTTTTTACATCAACATAACAAAAGGGAAAACATCAAGAGGATATACTTCTCCATTTGCATTATGGTAACAAAATGCTCTAAAACTTCTAGAAATATCAACCCTTCCTATTTACTTAATTTTATGTAAATTAATTTACAGGGTTTGTCTTCAATTTTTTTTCTCAATGGGCAAGTCAGAAACAAATTCAACCTCTAATTCATCAGAATGATAGGTCATAAATTCAATATCTACCAATGCACAGTATTTTTAAAAAGCAATTAAGGTGTGTCCTATGCTGTTGCTTTTAAACATCATTTCAAACCATATTCCATTCAATACACTTCCTAGCATAAGCAGATAGATGTCCCCTTAGAAACTTCTAGCCCCTTGCAAAGACTGTAGTTACTACAGCAAAACTTTAGAACTGGATGTGAATACACAGCGACATAGCTAGCTACCATAAACGGAGAGATGAGAAACATCCCAGCGATATATAGCCTGAATAGATGTATAATCAAGGGAAAAGCCAACACTACATGATTTCACAATACATATGTACCTGATCATACCATTTCTATGGAATTAAAACAAGAAAAGCAACCAATCAGCAGTACAGAAGGACTGGAAAGAATACAGTAAAAGTGAAAAAAAAAAAATTAAATGAAAAGGATACAGCCTTAAAGCACCAGTCTGAGTTCCAACTGCCAGGATCTTCTGTACAGGATCAAAGGCCAGGGCTGACGGTTGATAGGGAAATCCATGGCGAACAGTCTAGGGATGGGCAAGTGACATCACAGCAACCAAGGCAGCAAGTGGAATTCAAAAACAGAAAAGTCAATAGAGACATTAGAACCTAGAACCAATTAAAAGCGATGCAGAATGCATACACATGCACTTACCGCCTTAAAAAAACAAAAAACAAAACAAAAAAACCCTACAAAATCTACATTAACAAAATTTATTTACATAGAACCTGAAACCAAAAAAAAATATATGTGTGTATACATCTCTCCCAATGTTACACTTCAATTTCTGCCTTTCTACAATATTGATATTCTACAGAAAAAAAAATTTACTTGTGTTGTACACTATCAAGTCTGAGACCAAAATACTGAAGTTTTCAGTAGTCAAAAATTCTGTAAATTAATGCAAAAATTAATGTAAAAACGCAATCCATGCTTTATTTCAAGTGTGAGAACTTCATTACTTTATTCGGATGTCAAATGCCAACTACTGCTAAAAAAAAAAGAAAAAAAAAAAAGGCTGTTGTACTATTACTTTTGCCAAGGGTTCAGTAAAGCAATTTTCTATCCCAAAATTTTGCAATTTTAACAGGATGAAAATAAGTACGACACATATTTTTGCATTTTGCTATCAAACCCTGAATTTTAGGGCAGTAAGGCAGAAACGTGTATTTAGACATTTCTAGAAACTGGCATATGAACACATGGTACTTTATGGCAAGTATTAATATCAAGTCAAGTTTGTATTTCTTACTGAGCATCCAGTGAATTAATTCGCTGCATCATTCTTTCCGAATTACAAACCGCTATGGCAATGGTGCCATTAATAGGCAAAAAAAAAAAAAAAAAAAGAAAAGAAATCACAGTACCAACTTTTTACCCAAACATAATGATAAAAGGACCCTGTGATTTCGTTTTTTAGGCTTCCTAGCGCATTCTAAGGGAAAGGTGATAAGCAAATATCCAGTGGAACAGGTTTGGCTTTTGGATGAACAATATTCACTAGACACTGTTTCCAAAGGAAACTTCGAAGTTGGTGAATTATACGAGAAATGCTTGGATATCGAGGCTATAAAGGCCATTAAGAATGCTGGTTAAAGGTCGGCAAAATACGTTAGAAGCAACCTCGAAACGGCTGCTGCATGTGAAAAGGGGAGAGAGGGGGGGAAAAAAAACCCAAAAGGAGTTAAGATGATGTCAATCTCCAAAATAACCCACTAAAGCAAATGTTTGCTTGAGGAGGAGCGGGCGCTTCATTCGCGCGCGGTCTAATCATCACCGGCACTCGACTCCCTCGCGCGCCCAGGACCAGCCCGAGCTGCCCCCCACCCCGACCCCAATTTTCGCGGGGCTGCGCGCTCCGCTCACCTTGCAGAGCTGGAAGTGCTCGGACTGGAGCGTTTCCTGGACCTCGGGCTCCCGGGTCCCCGCCGGGTGCTGCTGCTGCTGCTGCTGCTGCTGCTGCTGCTGCTGCTGCGAGGCCGAGGACGAGCCGGCGGTCAGGCCGTCCAGCACCTTCCTGATGTTGAATTTCCTCATGGTCTCGGCGGGGCTCCCCCGCAGCCCGCGAGGGGAGGCGAGCGGCGTCCCCCGGCGCGGGAACCGAACCCGGGCCGAGGGCGGCGTCCCCCGAGGAGGACACGGAGGAGTGGGGCCGAGTGGGCGTGCGAGGGGAAGCGGGCAGCTGCGGAGACGCGCTGGAGGATCCAAACAGGAAAGGCTGCGACGACGAGCCCCGGCGGCGGACCCTCTGGGTCCAAGGCCGCCGCCGCCGCCGCCGCCTCGCCCCGCGGCCCGGCGGCGCAGCAGTGGCGGCGGCGCGCGGAGCCCGCACTGCCCGGCCTCACCTGGCCGCGGGCTGACTCTGCGCCGCGCCGCCGCCCCGGCTCGCCCCCGCCGCCGCCGCCGCCGCCGCGTCCATGGCCCGCGGCCCCGCCGCTGCGCGCCCGCCCCGGCCCCGCAGTCCCACGGCGCTTCCTCCCGCTCCCGCGCCGCCGCGCCGCGCCGCCGCCTCCCGGGGGTCGCCGGCCCTCCGTCCGCGGCCGCCGCTCGGCCTCCCCGCCACTCAGCGCCGCTGCCCGCCCGGCATCGCACGCAGGGCGCCCGGGCTGGGTCGCCGCGCTCTCCGCCTCGCTCCTCCGCCGCCGCTGGACCAGCGCCCTCGCTCCTTTAGAGCCCCCGCTGCCCTGCTCAGGCGCCGCCGCCGCCGCCGCCGCCGCCGCCCCGCCGCCCGCCGCTCCCTCTCGCCTGACAGGGCGCCTCGGCGCACGACACCAACGCCCGCCCCGAGCAGCAGCGGCAGCCGCGGTTCCAGCGCCCGCCGCGGCGGTGGCGGCAGCTGGGCCTCCGCCGAGCGGAGCTGCTGAGCATGCGCACGCGCCCCGCAGCGCCCGCCCCGCGCCCGCGCCCGCGCCCGCCCCCCTCCGCCCTCCCCGCGCGCCCCCTCCGCGGGAGTGGAGCTGGCGCTTAAATTACCTTCTGCGAAAATCCCGGACCCCGGGGTAAATTTCTCCCACCCCAACCTCCGGGCGGGGGGAGGCGGCCGCTGCTCCCGCAGCTGAGAGCGCAAAAAAAGGTTGACTAAAGAGCCGCAGGAAGCCTTTATTTTAAATACGGTCATTAAAGCGGGGGTTTGTGTTCTCACCCTTTAATGAGGTGCACGCTCCTGGCTGCGGGCTGCGATATCGCTCTACTGATGGGCTTTGTTTTGCATTGAGTTGGATTTGATTTTGGGGGGGGGGGGAGCGGTTATGTCTGTGGTTAAAGGATGACAGACCTACGGACTAGAAAAGGAAAGGAGGTAAACCCGGGGGGAGACGGGGAGACGGGGAGAGGATTATTTCCTGAATCTGTTACTGCTGGTCAGATTAAAGCGTGGCCATGGCAGGTAGCTGCTGGCAGGGGAGCCGTTCCAAGGCTGCGAGTCCGCCCGGGCCAGGGACACCCCGCCTCTGGATTCAGTCCGCCAGCTAGCGGGGGTGGGGATGGAGGCGGGAGCAAAGGTGGAAGTAAACACCGCACTGCCCCTCTGCTTCTGAACCTACAATCCGCCTCGTAAACGCTGATGGTCCGCTAAGTAAGCCCCAGCCGCTTCTCCACTCTTGCGAGCGGGAAGACGGGGCAGGATGAAGGGTTTGCTCAGACCTTTCCGCTTCTTTACTGGCACAGCCTCGCGTGGAGGTGTAGAGACCAACGTCTGGCTCAAGTTTGCAAAGGTGGAGAGATTCCTGCTATAGGGGCACCCTCCCGGAGAGCGTGGACGGGGAAGCAAGAAGCATTCGATGGGAAAGGACGTGGGAACGCGGGGGAAACGTAAGGAAGGATGCGGGCGCATAAAGACTGATCCTGATTCAGGATGGGGTGGGGGGGGGTGGAGTGACTGGGGTGCCGTGGAGGTGGAGGGAAGACGCTCTCCCGAGCTAATAACTTCGCCCCCGACCGTCCAGTGAAGAGGCAAGGAAGAGATACAAAGGGTTTCCTGAACCCAAATCAGAGGTGCCCGCCCTCCTCTTTGTGATTGGCCGCCTCCTGCCCGGTTCAGGGACGTTCTCGCCACACTATTGGTTGACGTGACAAGCCTTTAAGAATATTCAGCAAACCGGCTACGACTGGGGCTTTGGGGGTTTTGGGAAATGTAGTTCTCTGTGGAGCTTCCGCATCCAGGGACGAGGTCTTAACGCTTGAACCTGTCAAATTGTTTTTGTTGCACACTGTTAATTGAACCACTCAGTTCATTCACTGGGTACAACGGACAATAAAGCAAATTTGGGGGTTTTCTCAAGCTATTTCAAAGCGGCTCTGAAATTCTTGTTTACTAATTTGGTTCTCTGAAACACATTTTGAGTTCATTGTGCTGGTAAACCAAGACACAGAAATGCAATACCTGCCTTTGACAAGCTCGCCACAGCCTAAAGAGGGCAAACCTCTCACAACAAGTAATTGTGCAACAATACGATGAGTTCACCGATGGAATCTTGCACAAAAAAGACTAAAGACTAAAGAGAGTAACTTAACCAGCCAAAAAACAAAACAAAACAAAACAAAAACAAACAAACCAACCTAGATATGGTGATACACACAGTAGTTGAATTCAGATAAATAGGAACTGACCAGGGAAAGAGGAGGAAGGACATCCGAAGGTAGATGGGGAGCTTATGGAAAGTACTTGGAGAGCTTTTTAAAAATACCAATACATCCATAGAGGAAAACTGCAAAAGAGATCATTTCCCCACAAAATTTTCTGATCCACCTTTTCATGTAAGTTGGAAATAAATTTATAAAGCTCTTCAGAGAAGGGACAGCTTCTTGCTGAGAGGACTTGTGGTGCAGTGGAAAAATCCTAGGCTCTGTTGTCTGCCAGACATGGATTTCAATCCAGGCCTTGGTGATAATGTGCAACATTGAACAAATTCCTTACCTTTCCTAAGGGTCAGATTCCTCATATGTAAAATGAAATTAATACTATCTTCTTCTTAGGGATTTGTGAGGATAAACTAGAAACAAATATAAGTTTGCGCTGTGTTGCTTAGCACTCTGTAGATACTAAAAAATGTCAGTTTTTCCATTTTACTATCAGGGTCCTTGAGGTGAAAGGTATTCAAGAGATTGCTAATTTAAACCAGTTCCCGGGCAGCCCCGTGGCTCAGCAGTTTAGCGCTCGCCTTCAGCCCAGGGTATGATCCTGGAGACTCGGGATTGAGTCCCATGTCCAGCTCTCTGCTTGGATCCTGCTTCTCCCTCTGCCTCTGTCTCTCTCTGTATGTGTCTCTCATGAGTAAATAAAAATAAAAAAAAAATCTTAAGCCAGTTCCCCATTTCTTAAGGACACGTGACATTTAAGATGAATGTGGAGCATACCTGCTAGAGGAGGTTAGCTTTGTGAACTTGCAATCCATCCTCTCCAAGCTCAAGGAGACCAGGACATATCTAGAATTCTGTTAACTAAAAAATAACAATGCCCCGAAATATTTACCTTGTGATAGCAAAAATAAAATAATGGCTCTTGAAACTAATGGTTTTTCTCATAAGTCAGTTTCAACTGATCAATTGATTTTTAAAATTAAGATAGAAAAAAAGAAAAATGAAGATATAAAATTTAAGGATCAAAATTAATTAATAATTTAAGTCAAGAATAAAATGATTAAAAATTTAATTTATGTTATGCATTTTAATGTTTAGCACAGAGATTTACCCTTAATAATCTCTCAACAAAGATTTATTTTTGTTTGTTTTAATGAATAGAATCAGTATATTGATTCCAAACAATTCAGTAGCTTCTGCCTTTGGGCAAGCGACACTCCCTCAAATGAAGTTTTTGTTTACCTATTGGTAAATATGGACCAGGAGGTGACGATGTAATAGTATATGCCACTGACAAATTATAGATAGTTATATTACATTTAGCTGAGTCAAGACAGCTTGAAACAATACTCGTTTAATACAATGAAAAGAAAAAGGAAAATCGACATACAAAAAGAAAGGCACCTCATTAAATTACTCAGCATGGAAAGCCAAAGACCAAAGATTCATAACATTCCGGAAGCTGCCAGTCCTCACTGCATTGTTTAAAGGCTACCAGGCTAATGAAGGCTCTGTGATTGGTCTCATGGGGGTCACTGGGATGCTGATTGAGAGGAATAAAATAGACACCGAAGATAAATATTTTAATGAGAAATTCTATTACAAGCAAAATCTTTCTGGAAGTAGACCAAATCTAACCTTACCTGCTAGCATTTATTTATACCCACTTCATTTCAATTTATTGAATCTCAAAGGATGTATGTGTGACAATAATTGATTCACTACACCATTTAACAGAATATTGAATTTAAATTATTCATAAATTGCAGCAGAGATATTAATTAGTTTGCCTATTTCAGGCCCCCTTTTCTGAATGGGTCCCCTAGGTCCTGCTGAGTTACTGAGCCAGGTGTTTTGACCAGGTAATCATGTGTTCTGGTCCAAACAGATTGAGGCAGACGCCCAAAATAGGCCAAGCCCAGAGATTATCTTCTTCTGGGAATTTGGAGTTGAATCAGACCGTGCTAATCAGTCTGAACTAGGAAGTCATGTGGAACTGGGACTGAAGCTAAGTATGCCCATACTTTGATGGCGCATGGTAGAATGAAGCAGACACACAACCTACAGAAAAGTGACTCTCTACAGAGAGGTAGAGAGCAGAGTCCCCATTCCTGACCTTCCATTTCCCAGTCCTTATTCCTTATGAAATCTAGCTACTCTTTCTTTCCTTCCTTGTATAAATGAGTTTGAGTGAGTTTCTGGTTCTTACAGTCAATATTCTGACAGAAACTTAGACACAACCAGCCCCCAAATATAAAGGACTATAGACATACTCTAACCATCTTTCACTAATAGTTTTACCTTCTGCTCACAGTTCTCCCTAGAGTTAAGAAGATGTGACAATAATCCAGCAAGGAGTTGGTGGCTTAGGGTGGAATGGTTAAACGTAGTGGCTGTGGTGAGAAAGGGTCAGATCCTGGATTGTATTTTAATGATAGACTCAAGAGGATTTGCTGACAGTATGGGAGGAAAAGGAAGAGACAAGGGTGATGCCTCAGAGTTTTGGCCTGAGCACTTCAAAGAGTGGTGTTGCAATTTAATTCCACATTTATGAATCCAGAATAATTTTATTACCATCTGTACCCTAGTAGACTGGACAAATATCATCAGCTAAATAAACAAGCCATGTCTGGGAACAAGCAGGATCCACTATGCTTGCTCTTTGTCAAGTTCTGGCCTTTCTAGAACGACAGATTAGGCAGATATTAATGAGCTCTCATTATTC